TTCCCTAATTTCTATGAAGTCAGTGTAGGCCAGAATACTTATCTCAATCTCTTGCTTCTTTCCACTTCTATTTTAGTTTTACTGTATCTCAAAGAAGAAAACTGGACTGCTAATGTAAACATACATGTTGCAGTCAAATTCTGAAAAGGAAATACCCAGTTCAGGTGTATGTTAAGGAAAAATAATTCTATGACTTCTTTACAGATTATTTTTGTAGTTTTGAAATCAGTCTTATAACTGAATCTTACATATTGCCAAGCTAAGGAGTGGAATCAACATCTTTAAAACATCTCCAAACAACAGTTTCACAAAGCACCTTTTTTAAAAATATCAAAACAATCTGGCAAGAATAAGAGTCACAAAAAGTAGAATGGTTAGTATCATCGAAATCAAGATATTATTTAGAAACCTAACATTCATCTTGTTTCTCCTGCTCATTTAAATCTGTCCCTTAATATCTCACCATTTACCATACCCTGAGGATTTAACATAACAAACAATATCTCTGTTCCATCTGCCAGTGTCGCTTCCCTGGTTTATTCCCTCGTCATTTCTCACTTTACCATACTTGCCTATTTTGGGGGAGGGCGGATTCCTGTCTACACTCTGGACTACTTGGAAACTCTCTACACTGCTGCTAGGGAAAGTTTTCTACATTATTAATCTACTGTCACTTCCTTGCTTTGCATCCTTCAATAGCTCCCTATAGCATTAAAGTTCAGTCTTCCCAGTGTAGCACACATGGCTCATTATGATCAAGCCCCATCTGTCTTAGTAGTCATTCCTTCCATTACCTCACACCAGTCTCCTACTAGAAGCATACTGAACCAGAATATAGCTTTACTATTGCATCATGGTATTTCACACCTTCATACGTGCTATTTTTATTTGGAATCCCTCCCCTTTCTCTTCCGCCCTCTCCTTGCCAGTCCTCCTTCCTATATACCCAACCAATTTGCCAAGGGATAGTTTGAGAAGTATCTGGAAGACCTGGCAATTCCCTGAAACCTCCCATTTAGATGTCCAGAGAAACTATCATAGGACAAACAAGACTATGTGTACCACATCTATAAAAAGATTAGGTCACAAATATACACACAAACTCCAAAATATTATTTCGGTTGAGCTAAACCATCTGAAAAAACAAACAAACAAACAAACAAAAACCATTGTATCAAAACTCAGTGGGAAAAGTCAAAAGCAAAGGGACTGATAATAACCCTGAGACACGAAGAACACAATGAGCCTTCCCAAAAATACAAGGAGAAATGTGATAAGATTTAAAAGTTTTAATTTGTGAGTGAGTACATGCAGTCTAAAGTATGATGTGATAGTCCTATATAGAGTTTGGGGGTCTAAGGCATATAAACTCTCAACATTGACAAGAAAAGCAATCCTTATATGACAACTTAGCATAAGGCGAAGCTGTTGGTATTATGTATTACACAGAGCAGGCCTGGTAATATAGGAGCAAAGAAACGAAAACGTCAAGAGGAAATTGAGAAGAGTAGCAGAAGCAGATATCTAAGAAATTTCAGGGTGTCCTGGTGCATTTTGTGCTTCTGACAGGATACCAAGCAGTTTATTAGGCCATCAGGAAGTTCATGACACATTTTTGCATAGAAAACATTGAAAAATACATAATGACTTTCCCAGCAATGTACTATAAAGAATGTAGGTTAATTACTATAGTTATAGGGTCTGAAAAGTCCAAAATCCAGGAGCACACATCTAGTAGAAGACTTCTTGCTGTGTCATCCCATGGTGGAAGGTAGGATAACAAGAGAGTATATGCACAAAGGAGAGGAAAAAAGATGTTATTTTATCAAAAAACCATTCCCATGATAATTAATCCACTCCTGTGAGAACAACATTAATCTATTTATGAGAGCAGAACTCTCATGGCCTAATCACCTCTTAAAGATTCTGTCTCTCAACATTCTTGCATTAGAGATTAAGTTTTCAAGGCAGGAATTTTGAGGGACACATTCAAACCATAGCAAAGTCTTTGTTCCTCCTTTATCAAAGGTACCTATCAAAATAAGTAGCTATTATGGCCCATCCTTTCTTCTGAAAGTACAGAAAACATCATTTCACAATGATGAACATCAGCAAAGGATCACTATAATATCCTCTATTAAATCAGCATAAAAATTTAAAAGTGAAATAAATCCCTCAGATACTTAAAGCACATCAGAAAAATATGCCCATGATACAGATGAAGACTTTAATGTTTCAAAATGAGCTAAAATAATTAAGAAAACTGTAGAACTTATAAAGAATAACATATATTAGAATTTGGAAACTCAGAAGTTAGGTGGTTAGAGAAGTTGATTTGAAGAGAGATCAAAAAATTCAAGAACAAATTAAAAATAAAAGGAAACATAATTATCTCAAAAGTCAGCAAGATACAAAAAACAATTGCAACAGAACCTTTTTAAGAAAAACCAAATATGAAAGAAAAGTTTTATAAATAACAATTAGGAAAATTTAAAGAGTATTCTAGAATAAGTGATGAATATAGGAGACAGGCAAAGATCTATTGTATGACCCAGCTATGGTGGCACAGCAGTAGCACATGCTCTGCAATGCTAGAGACCATATGGAAGATCAGGGTCCAGGTTCCTGGGTCAACCTGTAAACACCAGGCATGTTTGTATGTACACAATACTGGCTGACTGGGAAAGACTGCATGGGGAGGGGTGGGATGGGGTGTCATGGTATGACTGCTGTTGAGAGTGCTTCTGTGTGTGTGTGTCTGTGTGTGTGTGTGTCTCAGAAAAAGAAGATACAATATAAATATAATAGTAATGTCTGAAGAAGAAAACCAAAGCAATGAGCAGAACAAATACTAAAACTATAATTCAGAGAAATATTTTAAAGCAATAAAAATATTTTAAACTAAATATTGAAAAAGCATATTACATAATTGGGAAGACAATTTATAATTGCTGACATTCTACTAAATGACTGCACTGAAAATACACACACACACACACACACACACAGCATCTGCACAAAAAGAAAAAGTCACTTAAAAGCGAAAATATCAGATTGTCATCAGACTTCCACAATAAAAATTTATGACAGAGCATGATGATTTATTATATTTAAGTTACTCAATAAAAGAAAACATAAGCAAAAATAGAAATTGAACTTCACATATAAAAGCTACAAACTATTATGAACATGCAAGTGCTCGGGGAATATCATTCTCTAAACTCTTACTAAAGAATTTATTAGAGAATGAGCTTTAAGTAACAAAAATAACTTGAGACACTTTGACATAAAGACAAAAATTAGCAATAAATATATTTCACTAAAAACAAAGGCTGATGGTTTTAAGAATACTGTGGCTATGTAGATGCAAGTATCATAGATAAAAGCATCAAAAACAGAAAAGTACAATAAAGTCACTGTTTCTTCAGTAGGTATACACTGGATCTAAAAATATTATATTAACAAATCATCATGATTTATTTTTAAAAATATAGGGGCCAGTAGGTAGTATGGTAGTTAAGGCACTGGACTCCCACATGGCCAACTGTGGATCAAACCCTGGATCCAGCACTTTGAAAATCACATTGGGTGTGTGTGCATGCATGCCCAAAATCCTAGGAGAAGGATGGAGGAGAGAGGATTGAGGCATGGCCATCCCCACAGGGGAATAAATTCTCACTTTCCTTCTTGCTGTCTCTGTCTTTCTGTGTTGGGCACACACACCTTATGGTAAAAACCTGAAATAAAAAGATAAAATAAATAGTGTGTATTTTCTAACTCTACCAAAATATCTGGAAACAATGACTAGCCCAGCTGACATAAGTACCCTGAGTCCCCAAAATGTGTCCTCTAAATAGGATACTCACTATCCTTGAAAAAATTGCTGATTCTAGGTCAGGGTCTAAGATGGGAAATGTTCAAATGAGCCTAAAGGAATCAATGAACTAAGTGGAGTTCTCAAAGCACACTCACTAGGACAGCACCTGGGCACTTGTTAGGTATGTAGATTCTCTGTCTTGCTTCAGACCTTATTAATCAGAAGTCCTGGGGGAGGCTCAGCAGCCTGGGTTTTAGTAGGTCCTTCAAGTGATGCTGATAAACACTGAAATTTGGAACTGCTGGGCTTGGGTAATCACTATAAATGGCTCTTAACATCAAAACATGAGAAGCAACCAGGCATATTTCTCTAGACAAAAGACATCCCACCAACCTAACAAGCAATCTTGCCTCTCCACCAAAACTAGAACTGAAACTGATTCAAATTAAACTCTAGTTATAACAATCAAATTGCAGAAAATAGAGAAACATGCAGAGCAATTATATAGGAATATAATCAAGGAAATCTAGACTGAATGAAATTCTATAGGTTAAAAAATTGAGGTTTTTCCCAGGACCAGCAGTTGGCATGATGGTTAGGTCGCTGGATTTCCATGTAGTCGACTGCAATTTGAGTCCTGAACCTGGTAGCTTAAACTCACGCCAGGTGTGTGTGTGTGTGCATGCCCAAGAACCCGAGAGAAGAATGGAGGAGAAGGGATGGTGGCGTGGCCATCCCCCATGGGGGATGATTTCTCACTTTCTGTCTCTCTCTGTCTTTCTGGCGAGCACACATGCCCTATAGCAAAAACCTCTCAGAAAAAAAAAAAAAATAGGTTTTTCCAACAGAGAAATCCTAAGGGAAAAAATTATGTATAGAGCAAACATACAGATTAGCAGAGGTGAATGATAATAATATATGAACCCTGTCTGCTCCAAATTCGAATAAATGGATTTAAAAATAATTTATTACACAATTAGATATTTTGAACACCAACTATTCAATCATATTGTTGTTTTGTTTTGGAGTACTGTCTTACTGTGCTTATATTTTAGAGATCCAATTAAGTTATATATTGTCTAGAAATCATTTCAAAATAACCCTAAAGAGAGGGATAAGCAGATGAGGTAAATAAAATGGTCTTGAGTTGATGGAATTGATGATTGTTAAAACTGAGGATGGTAGCTTTGCGCAGTGGCAGTGTCATAGCCAATGAGGTTTATCCAAGGCACGATTATTGCTAATTGAAAACTGAGGATGGTTGCTTAGAACCTTATAATATTCTTTCCATCATAGTATATGTGAATTTTTCAAAAATAAAAAGTTATAACATCATTTATTTTTTAAGAAAATCTTTCCTAGCAGCAATTTGATTTATATAATTTTTTGTCAATGCTTTTCTATCACTCTTCATGCAACTCTGTGATCAGTTCCTTGAGGGAAGGATTGGGTTCTATTAACCTTTATAATCCAGTGATTATTTCAGTGCCTGAACACAACACATTTTTTATTTCAGGGTCCTCACAGAAATAGAAATTATATTTAAACAGGGTAATTGAAGAGGGTTCGATAAAAGAATTATTAGCCAGTATATAATCAGAGTTAAGAGAAACAAAGCATATGTCCTTGGCAACAGCAGGAAGCCATTACCTCATACTGCCCAGTGGGCACGAAGATGGGAAATCTGCTTGCAACCTAGTAAGAACTACAGCTTTACTCAAGGGCTTCTAAGAGGTGCAGTAGCCTTTGTTAGATAAATAGATCTAGAGCCCTACGGAGAGGACATTGCTGGGGAAATACACACCTCAAAGTCACTCAAACATCCAGCTAGTCTCTCCTATTGGTTGAACCCAAGTAGGGTTAATTTAAACCTATTAATGCAGTTAATAGGGAGAAGGACAGAGAGAAAAGTGGATCTTGAGGATGAGAAAATTCAGTACATCAACCTATAATAGTTTCTAATAAAAGAATGATGTCAGAAGTAAGTAAAATTCAGAGGCAAAACCAATTACAGTCCAAGAAAGCAACCAGTATTAATGTTTGAGCAAATATAATATAATAAGACAAAGGGCTTCAGAACATCCTCAAAGAGGAGATTTTCAAATCATGATTCTAAAATCATTTGGTGTACGTGTGTACATGCATAGGTGTAGGGGTGCACACATAGGGGGTGTGTGTGTGTGTGTGTGTGTATGTGTGTGTGTGTGGAAGGGCATTCGATAATACCTTTCTCAAATAAACTCTACTGCTCTCAATCTACAGAGCATGGGTTTTGAGAAAATAAGGAGTTTCTTATGGCAGACTATTACAATGGCTACAAATTGATTATTTTGAAAGAAACAATATTGTCTTTTCTACCCATTTTTTACTCTCTAATAACAAAAATTTATTTGGATATGTACAGTATCACCTCCAGTAGTATTTTTAAGCAACATGCAAATATCAGACCATCAGTGTAAATACGCCTGCAATTGTCAGTTAACCTCATGCTATTATTTTTAGACTGCCTGCGGCACTGTATCAGTACTGTCAGAAGGAAGAAAATAACACAGAATAAGGCATTTTCATATTCTTTTCCACAAGCCAAGACACAAATGGGCTCATTATCAACATGTGGTTGCCTCCAGTTCAATATTAATACATCTTTAGCTCTTCAGTAAGTGTTATGGCGTTGCGAAATTCAGCAAGATGTAAACATGTGTTCTCGCAGATAGGATATGCAGCCTGAAAAATGTGATTTCCCCCCTAAATCTTCCCTTGATATAAAGTAGTCAAGTCTGAAGATTCCAGAGAAAAAAAATATTTCCTGAAGATCACAGAGTTTCTTCTACCCAAACAGTTCAAGCTGATGGCTTGATATATATATATGAGGTCTAAAAACAATCATGTCTAAAAAGTATTTTTTTATCTCAGATTCTTATAGGACCTTTAACTAACAATTACAAATATCCTTGAGAACGAATTTTTTCTTATTTTGGAAAATATATATCTTAATACCTAAGGCAATATTTACAACAATATCTCAAAGTTCCAGGGGTCAAAATTGCAGGATTTTAGGCTATAGTACTGGTTTTGCAAATGCAAATATTGAAGCAACCCTAATACCCCAAAAGATAATGAAAATGTGCTACCTTTCACACACAAAAATGGTTTAGTACACTACCAGTTAGACGAATATTGTACATGATGTATTATTTTGATGGGTTTACATCATATACACAGATACCTTTTTCCTCTTGAAACTAAGGAGTGTTCACTTCAGCTACAATTAACTATGGCTTTCACTCTAAACAGCTACCGAGATACACAGGAATCAAACCTGTGACTTCTGCCTTAAAGTCCACAATGGTCCAACCAGCTCAATTCCCCAATGCTTCTGAGTCTTGTAGGGTGCTAGGGTTAGAACAGTAGTGCTCTGTGACCAGAAGCCTTGTTTTTGAGGTTCCATCTCTGCTGCTCACAAACTGTATGAATACAGGCATGCCATCAAACATATTTGAGCCTTACCCTTTTTATCAATAAACTGTTTATAATTACTTCTGTTCCTCAGATACTATAATGCATGTGAAAGAACTTTATACATGGCAGAATGCCATATTAGGCAAGTTTACTAGCCTTTGATTTATTGTGTCATTTCAGTAATGGACATTTTTTTGAGCTTTGTCAATATGAGATTTCTGATGTAATTCTGTTTTCTGTCCTTTCTATTTATCCTCAAAAGTCTCTTCATTACCTACACTGGTATAAAATACCAATGCGGAAGAAAAATCTCAATTCTAAGTAAATGCTGTAGCAAAGATATTGAGCAAAACTTGCTCCATCTCACTTTACCTTAAAAATGAATCTATTTCTAGCTCAGCTTTAGGAATTGGAGTCAAAGATACCACAGATGGAAAGCCAGGTCAACAGTCAGCCTCAGGATTAAGTGGACTAAATGAGGTAAAAGGTCAACCCAGAGCAGTGTATGTGTGGAGAAGGTGTGTGTCATAGTAACGGGAGTCCACTGTATTGAGGACTGGGAAAATTCAACACCTAATACAAGTGTATATCCACAGAAATAAACTAACATCATTTGAGAATGTTTTGTTTTACCAACAATCTCTCTGGCCTATGAGAGTTTGTAAAGAATTAAGAACAGCTAAATGCTTCGTTTGGAAAAGTATTTAACTAATATTAAGAACTAGGTAACACTTTCTGTTTTGTCCCAAGCTAATTCCATGACTAATTTGAGCGAGTTTTGTTTGGTCTGTCTGGGCTTCAAGTTCTCAACTGTAAATAGTCTAGATTATTTCTAAATTCCCTTCAAGCTCTAAAACACTACAGTAGTCATATGAAATTCATTTCTATTTTCACTATGCAAAAATAAGATCCATTTGCAAATAAAATAAATGAAATAAAATCAAAACAGCCATCATCACTAAAAGTTGAGGTTGATATGGTTTTGAGATTTTCCCATTCATATGGGAGAATTCACGTACTCTCTAAGAGGGTTCTATAAGAATCTAATGAACATCATTTTTACCTATATCTTCAAGATGAGTCCTTAACAGAAATCCTAATGAACAATGAAAGGATCTGCCTGTAGCAACCAATCAAACTGTATTATTAGTGTGACATTTCCAAGTAATCTCTTGCCAATGATTCTTTGTTAGATGAAGTATATGAAATTATTAACTTTCAGACATAGAGAAAATTGTAATCCTTGATACCTGAAAAATTATAGTTAGAAACCTCCACTGCGCAACATTCCAGGAATTTTGCTGGTTGTGAAAGAATGCTGGCCACATAAAAGGACAAGGTTCCTAGAAAAATGTCCTCCATTTAGTCTAAACCTCAGGTCTAAAATTTTCTTATCTGGACAGAAACCCTCTCTTCTCCATAATATTTCTTCGTTTTCTTATCCTCTTATGTATCCACAAAAATTATAGTCAGATTTTTTATATGTATAAGGTATTGGAGAGATAATAGCAAATAAAAACATTTTTAACTTCATTTTGAATTTGTTGTTTTGATCCAGAAAATATTGACTTGAGTTAGTGAAATGGAAAGAAGAATTAATCTAACCACAAGAATGAGAAGGTGGAAGCAATTGTTTTGCCATGCATAGGAAAGTCAATAAATATTTTATGTTGATATAAACAGCTGCAAGTGAGCTAATATATATGAATGCATTTATTCAGCCATAAGGTATTATACAAATACTATTGTTGCTATAAGTATTTTAAGCAGAGACAACATGGAAAGGAGACAGAACCTTTTGCTAAATGCTAGTGTTGCCCCTACCAAAGATGTGTTCTGGGCTAGAAGCTGATCCTTTATGTTTCCTGTCTTCATATAATGCTATAACTTTTGAGCTTCTTCAACTTCCCTCTTCCTCCACTCCTAGTGTGTGGACACCTGGATAATTCCAGTCTTACTGACATACCTAATCCTGAACTGGATCCATGCATCAGTCATAGGTAGACCAATAATTCACTGAAAGAAGTTCATGTTTAGTTGAAGATGAAGGAAATCATTTAGAAAAAATCACCCTCTTTCAACAATTGCAAATAAATGCTGTTATTAGTTCAAGATCTCTGTTAGAAAGAACAGACTTGGGACCAGAAGTTGGCATACTGGCTATGTCGCAGGACTCTCATGTAGTCGACCACGGTTCAAGTCCCAGACCTTGTGGCTTAAACTTATGTCAGGCGCATGTGTGGTGTATGCCCAAGATCCTGAGAGGAGAATGGAGGAGAAGGGATTGCAGTGTAGCCATCCCCCCTAGGGAGTGATTTCTCACTTTCTGTCTCTCTGTCTCTGTCTTTCTGGCGAGCGCACGTGCCCTATAGCAAAAACCTCTCCAAAAAAAAGCAAGCACAAACTTTAGAATCCCAAGTTCCAATTCTTAGTGCTCTGAGACTACATTGGCAAATATGAGACTGTCAGTTTTCTCTGACCTGTGGCCATCAGTCTTCTAAGTATGCATGTTTGGTCTCTAAGGGCACTGGTGAGAGGATGTGGATGATCAGGGAAAATTCACAGATACAAATGGGATAAAAATGCAGGATATCATAAAGCCTTTGCATGTGGGGGATGAGCGGCATCATCATCCTACATGCAGAGTAATTTATCTCTTACCCAAGGTAGGAGAGCAGAACCACTATGCTGGTGGGTTTTTTTAAATATATTATTTATTTATTTATTTATTCTCCTCTTATTATTTTTTTTTATCTTTTGCTATCCAGACTACCATTTCTGGAATTATAATTATTAAAATGAAAAATCAAATGTTGTGAATGCTGGATCCAGAAAGCTTAGCCTTTACATTTATTTTCTGTTCTGCAAA